TCATCTAATTAATACATTTTACACTTCACCACCCGTTAATTTAAACAAGATTAATTAAACTATTAAACAATAATAATAATTCTATCAGGAAACATTCAAATTGATCTGTTCCTTTCAATTTTACACCTAAAAGGAAATAATTAATCTCTTAAAAGATTGAGAGATAGGATCCCACCAACAAGAAATCAAATCAACTTTCATACTATTGCTGACTATAAGCCAATAAAGTTAGAAATATTATTAAATACAAAATCTTCTGTCATATTGCTGAGAAATTTTGCATGCTTACCCTTTAAGTAATATCCTTTTTTACCATAGACAAAGACTTCAATGACATGACATTTTTCTATATATAAAAATTAAATTATTTCATGCTAATGCATTGCATTTAGTTAAGCACAAATTAATTATTCTCTTTTAGTCATCAATGGCTCCAATAAGCTTCTCTTCTTCTTCTTCTTCTTCTTCTATCTTGGCTGCAACAATTTGTTTAGCTTTCCTACTTCATCAAGCTCAAGCAATTGAGTGCAACATTTTACGCTACCACTTGCCCTAATGTGTCCACCATGTTAGCAATGTCATCCAACAAGCTCTGCAATCCGATACTCGAATCGCCGCGAGCCTGATTCGCCTCCATTTCCATGATTGTTTTGTTAATGTAATCTGTTATTATCAAGACAATTTTCTCGTGTAAATTTTTTCTCTTCATAAGTATATTTTACGTTAATTTCTTTTTTTTTTTTTTTCAGGGTTGTGATGCTTCAGTGTTGTTAAATGATAGCAGCAGCTTCAGAGTGAAAAAAATGAGTTCCTAATTTAATTCCGCTAGAGGATTCGATGTTGTTGACAACATCAAAACTGCAGTGGAAAATGCTTGCCCTGGTTTTGTTTCCTGCGCTGACATTCTAGCTCTGGCCGCAGAATCATCTGTTTCTTTGGTACAAATTCGGAAACCAATATATTACAGGATTCTGATAATGTTATATATCAATATTATTAACCACATGTACTACTTATAGTCAGGAGGGCCTTCCTGGAATGTTCTATTAGGTAGGAGAGATAGCTTGACTGCCAATCAAAGTGGAGCCAACACTTCGATTCCCACTCCTTTTGAAAGTCTAAGCAACATTACTTCCAAGTTCTCCGCAGTCGTTCTCACACACACGGATCTCGTCGCGTTATCTGGTACATAGAATAAGGAATTTTTGAAGTTTCAATACTTTCAAATAAACTTAAAAATTGAACTATTATAGTTTAAATAAGTTATTTTCTCCAATAATAACTCCAACCAAACATACTCCTATCAGTATCACATGTTAAACGTTTTCTTATTTATTCAGTACACATGGTTATTATTACATAACGTCTATATTATATATTCCCATACATTTGGACGAGCGCAATGCCGATTCTTCAGCGGCAGCTATACAATTTCAGCGGCACAGGCAACCCAGATCCAACCCTAAACACATCATATTTAGCAACTCTGCAACAAATTTGCCCACAAAATGGGAGTGGAACAGCCTTGACAAATCTTGATCCCGCAACTCCAAATGGTTTCGACAATAATTATTTTACAAATCTGCAGAACAATCAAGGGCTTCTGCAAACAGACCAAGAATTATTTTCTACTTCTGGGGCTGCCACCGTCTCCTTGTGAACAGTTTTGCCCAGCCAAACAGCCTTCTTCAGAGCTTTGCTCAATCAATGATCAATAGGAAATATCAGCCCGTTGACTGGTACATGTGAAATCAGATCGGATTGCAAGAAAGTTAATGGAAGTTAATTAATTATGTGTTTAAATGAGGTTTAATTAATGATTCATTGGGTTTGAAAATTGATCAAATTTGTTTGTTAACCAGTTTGAAGTTCGATAGTCAAATGTATTATTTGATCAGAATTTTCTAAGATCTGAACTTCTTAAATACATAAGTAAAGTTTTATAGATTTTTTATTATTTACAATATTTTGGTATGTCGTACTTTAAGATTTTATTATAATGTTATAGATAATATAATACATACATTTTATGTATAAAAATTCGTATGTATGGATGGCGTATTTTGTTAAAATGCAGTCTCTGGTTTCAATTTTTACATTTTGCTGTATCAGCGATATACACATTAAAATATTAACTCGAGATATTTACACGTCAGAATTACTTTTATATATATATATATATATATATATAGTGATGGGTCCGATGAATGACAAGTGGGGACCACGGTCCCCACTCAATTTTTAAAAAATTTCAGAGTTCATTTTATTTTATATTTATTTAAATTTTCCCCGTATAGAATTTTGAGATTTTGGGAATATAATGGCCCTTACAGTGGATTTTGTTTTTATAAAACCCCATTTTTAATCCTAATATATATATATATTACATATAGTGGATTTTGTTTTTATAAAACCCCATTTTTAATCCTAATATATATATATTACATATGAATAATATTTTACATATATCATTTTTATACAATATTTCTGATATAACATTACGTGGTAAGATATGATTGGATAAAAGTTTAATTTTAACTTTAAATCAGTCAATCATATCTTACCACATAATATTATATGAAAATTATGTATGTGTAGTATTACTCATTATACATTCTTTTGTGATTTTTATTTTTATGTAAAGAGGTCTGTTAGTTTTTAAAAGTTTTATTGAGAGTGAAAATGAAAGGAACGAAAGCTGATGGGTTTGCATGTAACTGAGGGGAGAAATTTGGGCATTTTTACAATAGAAAGTTGATGTGGCGGGGTCATGGTGAGAATAAAAGAATTTTGTGACAGTTTCATAATTCAAAGAAGTTGTTTTATATATAAACTGAGTTCTTTGCCCACAATGAAGAAGAAGAGAGAAAACCTCGTAAAGAAGAAAGGAAGAAGAAGCAAAGGAAAGGGAAAAAGAGAAGAGAGGGAATAACAGGTTTGACCAGTTTTATCCATTTGATTTTTCTGCACTTGAGTTAATGATACTTGAGAACCAAACTGAGACTTATGTTATAGTCATGTGTTCTTGTGATGAATTTATTGAGTTATAAGGAATTTGTGATTTGTCTAAGAATTTAGTTTGGTTTAAAAAAGACATTTTGTATACGTTGGTGTATAAGCTTGTGAAACTTACATTGGTTTTATCAGTTGCGATTGTGACTGTTGAAAAGGTTTTTTCTGCAATGAATCTTGTAAAAAGTTGACGCAATCAAATGGGAGATCAATGGATGAATGATTGTTTGGTCACCGATATTATTGAGAAAGATGTATTTGATACAATTGATGATGAGATAATTATCCAACATTTTCAGAATATGAAATTCGTCAAGAACAATTGTAGAAAATTTATTTTATTTTTATAAAAATTGTTTTATTTTTAAGATATTTATGTGTATCTTGTAACTTTTTGTTGAAGCTCATCGTAATGAAAAAAAGTATGGTTATGATTGGTTTTAATTTTTTTGTTTAGTTTATTTTTTGTCCCCATGGAGTGAAATTCTTGGATTCGCCACTATATATATATTGCATAAAAAGTAAATAAAGCATAATCAACCACCATTAGGTGACCCAGTAGTCAACTAGAATTTTTTGGTGTATTACTCAATATATCATGAGTTCGATCCAATTGGATTACTAATAGGGGTAGTCACTGAAGAGATTTATTCGGTTGTCAATTTTAGAGTACCAATATATTAGTTGAGGTGCACGCAAACTGACCCGAACACCTCAGATCACCAAAATAAATAAATAAATAAATAATTTTAGATGGTCATCTGGCTCTTGTGGTTGCTATGGCGCCTCATATCTTTTGCTGTCCAAGTTGCAAAAGTTTTTTTATTTTTTATTTTTATCATCCATATAAACTTTTTTCATATCATAAAAAATAATAAAAGAAAATTTTAACAGGTTATTTTATATCAATTTAAATTTTTGACACTAACTCGTAACCATCCATTCAATGCAATTAAATTATTTATAAACAAGTTGACATAAAATCACTTAAACTTCTCTTCTATAATGATTGGAATACAATTCATTAATGATTAAGAGAATGATGTCAATATTTGAAGTCATAAATTTAAGTTGATATGACCTGATCCCTTCAAAGATAAAATTAAAACAGCTACAATAAGATTAGATGAGTAAACATAATTAACCTTTGATCTGCATATTAAAGACTATCACGAGGTCTATACCAAAAATTGACTAAAACATAATACGTTAAGCTGTACCGTAAAATTTAGTGACTCCATCCAATAATTGGAATTTCTACTTATATATATGCACATATAAAAAGTAGTTGCATTGGTTAATTGATAATCTCTTATTGAAGTCAAGTGACAGAAATGTTTAATTTGAAAAGTAAATATATAAATCAAATAAGATCAATCTAGGTTGTTTTGTGTTATAGTTCACCTCATAATTTATTTAATCTTTTAATATAAAGTTAATTACAATTTTCCGATTTAAGGTATCACGAAATAATATTCTTCCTTTTAAGTATCTAAAATAATAATTTATCCTCTATTTTCACTTATATTTTAGGATTTTCTTCTTCTAATTAACACAATTTACACTTCGACCGTTAATTTAAACAAGATTAATTAAACTATATATTAAACAATAATAATAATGTTTTCAGGAAACATTCAAATTGGTCTGTTCCTTTCAATTTTACACCCAAAACTAAATAATTGATCCCTGTAAAGATTGAGAAATATTGGAACCCACCGACAAGAAAAACATTAACATCAAATCAACTTTTGTATTATTGCTGACTTTTATGCACTAAAGTTAGAAAAATAATTAAAGCAATACCCTTCTTTCACGTTGCTGAGAAATTTCCATGCTTATTACACTTTAACGAATCTCCTTTTTGACCAAAAACAAAGAATTTAACGACATGGCATTTTTCTTTATATTACACTTGCATTATTTCATGCTAAGTTGAACACAAATTAATTAATCAATTGATTGATTGATTCTCTCACTGATCATAAATGGCTCCAAGAAGCTTCTCTTCTTCTTCTTCTTCTTCTTCTTCTATCTTGGCTGCAACTATTTGTTTAGCTTTCATACTTCATCAAGCTCAAGCTCAATTGAGTGCAACATTTTACGCTACCACTTGCCCTAATGTGTCCACCATTGTTAGCAATGTCATCCAACAAGCTCTGCAATCCGACACTCGAATCGCCGCGAGCCTGATTCGCCTCCATTTCCATGATTGTTTTGTTAATGTAATCTGTTAATTATCGAAGACAATTTTCTTGGGTAAAACTTTTCTCTTCAGAAGTATATTTTAGGACGATTTCAATTTTTTTTTTTTCAGGGTTGTGATGCTTCATTGTTGTTAGATGGTAGCAGCACCATTCAGAGTGAAAAAAATGCAGGCCCTAATGTTAATTCCACCAGAGGATTCGATGTTGTTGACAACATCAAAACTGCAGTGGAAAATGCTTGCGCTGGTGTTGTTTCATGTGCTGACATTCTAGCTCTGGCTGCAGAATCTTCTGTTTCTTTGGTAAATATTCGAAAACCAATATATTACAGGATTCTAATAATATTATCGAATCAATATTATTAACTCTACATGTACTTGCAGTCAGGAGGGCCTTCCTGGAGTGTACTATTAGGGAGGAGAGATAGCTTGACTGCCAATCAAGGTGGAGCCAACACTTCAATTCCCTCTCCTTTTGAAGGTCTAAACAACATTACTTCCAAGTTCTCCGCAGTCGGTCTCAACACAACGGATCTCGTCGCGTTATCTGGTATATAAACTCAAAAATTGAAATACGATTGAATAGCTTAAAAAGATTTCGAAAGTGTTTTAACTATAGTTTTATATAAGTTCTTTTCGCCAATAAATAACATTAACCAAACATATGTTTAGACGTTTTCTTATCTTATTCGTCAACCACATAACATATGTTTTAAAGGTACATATTAATATTTACATAACGTCCATATTATTATACAGCTGCGCATACATTTGGGCGAGCGCAATGCCGAGTGTTCAGCAACAGGCTATACAATTTCAGCGGCACAGGCAACCCAGATCCAACCCTAAACACATCATATTTAGCAACTCTGCAACAAATTTGCCCACAAAATGGGAGTGGAACAACCTTGACAAATCTTGATCCCACAACTCCAGATGCTTTCGACAATAACTATTTTACAAATCTGCAGAACAATCAAGGGCTTCTGCAATCAGACCAAGAATTATTTTCTACTTCTGGGGCTGCCACCGTCTCCATTGTGAACAATTTTGCCAGCAGCCAAACAGCCTTCTTTCAGAGCTTTGCTCAATCAATGATCAATATGGGAAACATCAGCCCGTTGACTGGTAGCAGTGGAGAAATTAGATCGGACTGCAAGAAAGTTAATGGAAGTTAATTAATTAGTGTGTTTGAAAAAAATTTAACCAGTTTGGAAGTTCAATATTAATTAATTACTTTGTATTATTTGATCAGAATTTTATTAAATACATAACAGTTATGTTTTATATACATGCTTTTTATTTTATAATATTTTATTATCAAGTGTATAAGTGATATAATATGTACATTTTACGTATGAAAATTCATACGTATGAACATTGTGTAATTTTACAAATTAAAAAAATTAATTCAAGACATTTTCACATGAGAATTACTAATATATATATATTTCTCCATAAAAAAGTGAATAAAACATAATCTTAGAGGGGCATCTAGCTCTTGTGGTTCCCATGGCACCTCGATCGGAATTTGACAAGTATGGGTGGGTGGGGGTGTTTTTGCTAATTTTTAAATTTTTTTCTGGGGGTATTTAGTGAATTAATAAACTTAAGGGGTCTAAAAAATTAAAAAAATATACTAATATTTCTGGAATAATGTGCCAAACAATATTTGGGGAATAGGATTGAGAATATGGGTAGAAATAATGAACCAAACGCACCCTTAAAGATTTTGTTTATTATATCAAATAGTCCATTAATTTTGATATTAAGAGCAAGGTAGTACAAGAAAAATATATATTTTATAACGATAATTGATGTTCCTCTTGATAGCTTTATGGTTAGAAATGAGTACTAGAGGTATCAAATGAGTCGAATATTAACCTCGTATGAGACATAGAATGGACTCGACAACTCAGACCAATTTCAAAAATTGACGTCCTACTAATCAATAAAAAAAAAAATCATTAAAAAAAAAAAATTGTTTCCTCTAACACTCATTTCTAATATCATACAATCATTTCATTTTCAGTCGACAAACAACATCTAAAAATACTCGACTCGAACCACTCAATTCAAGTCGGATTCATGGGTTACATTGGGTCTTGTATACAAAACTCAACCCGGCCCGAGCACGTGATTACTTTGGGATGAGCCCACCCTATGTAAACCTTTAATGGGCCGATGATAGGAGCCCATGGCCCATAAATGGGCAACAATGTTGATTGTTGTACATGGCAGTTGGAATGACAGAGAATGTAAACGTGGCAGCTGCTAATTTCTCTTAAGAGCCTTCATATTCCACAATCATCAACCATTAATCAGAGCCGTGTGATCATATATCATAATCGAAGGATCACAGTCAACTGCCAGACACACTCCATGACAGCCGTTGGATCAAGGACCTGTAAAATTTATACCACAAGGATGATCCACTGAATCATGCATTTCTCTTTCTCCCCCATCTCTTCTGTCTTGAATTTCATTTCCTTCCACACTCTATCTTCTCTGGACGAGATCGCCAATACAGAGGAAATAATAATAAATAAATAGATAGATAGATACGAATAAATAATTCATGGCGGGTCAATTCGGAGCCGACTCAGCTCAGAATAACTTAGCTACTTTATCGAGATCGTAGCTTTTCAAGCCAGGTGCTTCAATTTCCTTCTTTTGCTTCCTGTTTGACGAAATTTCTTGTAATTTTTGTGTGTAAAGTTTAGATTTTTTTTTTTTGTTTCAGCGAGGAATTTGTTGTTGGAAATTTTTTATGTTAAAGTCATCTTCTTGTTGACATAAAATTAGGGTTTTTGATTTCGGGGTCTTTTAGTTCGTGGTGAAGTTCAGATTTTTGTCATCTGGGTTGTATAATTTTGTTACCAAATTAGGGTGAGAAAGGAAGAGTTTTTTTTTTTTTTTTTTTAGTCTGTGTTTGTTCAGTTTCGTGATAAAAGTGAGGAAATTAGGGTTTTTTGGGGGGGAGACGTTGAATTAGTGATTGAAGAAGTGTTTTTTTGTTTGGGTTTGATCGTTTCTAGGATAAAATGATGATCTTTTTATCTGGATATGTTCAATTTTATGAGGAAATTAGGGTTTTTTAGTTTTTAGAATTGGGTTTGTTGAATTTGTGATGGGTGAGGAGACATCTGAGACAATGAACCTTGATTTGAATCTGGGTCCTGTTCCTGAGACACAATCGGAGTCGATAACAAGTGAGGCTGTGAATTTAGATGATTGGATTGATCCTATTGATAGAATTAGGGAAGCTGTTAGGCTGAGGTCTCGACAGCAGCGGTGGAGATGGAGACAGGTTCAACTCCCTCCAGAAACAGTTACCCTGCCGATGGAACTGAATCAACTGATGGGTAGTTCTGCCAACGGGAGTATATTACAGGCAGGTGAGGGTAGTGTTACTGCCGAGGAAAGAACTAATGAGGTGCCTAAAACATGTGAGAATAATCACGGGTTTTTGGAAGATGGAGTATTGGATAAGAAGGATGATGTTGAGAAGGGCAGTGGAAGTGACGGGAGTTTTTTTGATTGTAATATCTGTTTAGATTTGGCTAGGGACCCTGTGGTCACTTGCTGTGGTCACTTGTTTTGCTGGCAATGCCTTTATCGATGGTTGCATATTCATTCAGATGCAAAGGAATGTCCTGTGTGCAAGGGAGAGGTAACAGATAAGAATGTGACCCCAATATATGGTCGTGGGAACTGTACACGGGAGCCAGAAGAGGATTCAAATCTTAAGATTCCTCATAGGCCACATGCACGCCGGGTTGAGAGTTTGAGACAAAGCATTCAGAGGACTTCTTTCAGTTTACCAATAGAGGAAATGATTCGGCGTCTTGGAAGTAGATTTGATTTGACTGCACCACGGGATGGAAGTAATGCCCGGGAAACGGCTGAAAGGACTAATGCCTTGCTAAATAGGATTTTTACACCTCGAGGAATTCGTGGAGAGCAAAATCCAGTTTCAGCAACTCCAGAGGATGTAGATTCGATGCAGAGTGGCACGATGAATGGTCCTGAGGGGGAAACTCATCGGTTCAGTCCTCTCTTAGTGCGAAGACAAGCACAATCACATAGACCTGTAGCAATCTCTCCTTCTCTTTCATCTGCACTGAATTCAGCAGAAAGGTTAGTTAACGCATATTTCCAAAACCATACTGGCGGAAGAAACCAAGAGCAGCCACCACCTCCAGTTGATGATAGAGATTCCTTTTCAAGCATTGCTGCTGGTATAAACTCTGAGAGTCAAATGGACACTGCTGTGGAAATCGATTCTATAGTGTCCCTTTCAACTTCATCTTCCCGAAGAAGAAGTGATAGTTCAAGAGTTTCTGATGTGGACAGTGTTGATTCTCGTGCGCCTAGAAGAAGAAGATTGAACTAAAAAGAGCATCTAATTTTCTCATATCCTGGAATCACTTGAAAATTTGACATCCCAACAGCAATGTAAGTGCTACTTGCATTTTATGGCTTTAAATCTGCTAGGTCTTCACCTTTATGCTACAATCGTTGAACCTCTTGAGGACAATAATGAATTTTTATGCTTTATTGCTACTCTATATGGTTTGGAATACTATTATCCTTTATTAGAGGTTTGTGCTTTCAAGTAAAACTTGTATTGGAGCAAGTAGCCCAATTATGACTCACCGTTGTACAGCAAGCTTTTATATATTTGAGCATAATCGCTTTTCGTTTAATTTGATCAACCAGAGGCATTTAATTTTGAAATAGATTATGTACATTGCTCGTGTTTTTTTGTTTTATAATATCCAGAAATCCCTCGACCTTACCTGAAAAGTAATTATGTACATTTCATACACTTATGCTTGTCACCAAGTTAAAGATCAAGCATTTGTTTTAGTGTTCGTGGATCCTGTCTGAGCTGATACAATTATCTGTTTCCTGAAACCCTGGTCATATTTTATACGTTTGATCAAATTCTCTGCTAATCCATTTATTTAAAGTAATTCAGCAGGGTCCATGGTGTAATCTTATAATTTTCATTCATCTTGTTGCGTTATTCGTTCGCATATTAAGGCATATCGGTTCATATCATTCAGACTCCTTGATGTTATGTGATGCTGTTGCATAATCTTTCTCAAAATAATTGTAGTGTTCTTGTTATTCATTCTTGAATTAGTTACCTTATTGGCAATGGATTTATGCATATTAAAGCTGTATGTTTTGCACTTTTTACTTGCAAAAACAAAATTACTTGAGAACAAGTTGATTGTTATTACCTTCTCATTCTTTGTAAAATCTTTTGTTCACATTTGGCCTTCATTACTTGGAACTGAATTTTAAGATACCCTTTTAAGTTTACTTAAAAGATTTCTTTTGATTAGTGTTATGTACTTGATCAAAATAAATTCGATGATTATTGATTTAATAATGTCACAAATAAAAAATTATTAAGTTGGAATTGTCAAAATCCAATTCCCATTTTCTGTGAATATTTTGTGTGTTTTTGAAGAACAAAAACAAGATTAATTGAAGCCAATAGCACTTTTTTTTTTTTTTTTCTTTAGAATTGCTCTAAAAACTATGCTTAGAAACCCTATGCTAGCAAAAATTTAAAAAAAATTAATAATAATAAAATAAAGTGTTGAGTTGGGTAGAAAATTTAATAAGATTAGGTTTGATTGAACATAATTATTTAAAATTCAATATGATTTGACTGTTTAAAAAAAAAAAAAAAAATCCTATGAAATTGATCTAACGGACTTTACCTATAAAGAAGAACAATTATTGCACCCTTGATAGTTCAATGTATAGATAGTGTTGGGATGTTTGATTAAAGTTTACAGTCTCATAGGTTCGGATCTCCTTGTTCTAAGATTTAAGCGGATGATCATAACAGTGGGATGTTATTCTAGTTACCTACAGAGATTAGTCAAGATGTAAGCTGGTTCGACATCTTGTTTTTAAAAAAAATATATATTTTTTAAGGTGATATTTTAATTTACATAAAATTCACATTTATAATATGGAATTTTTTAATAAATTGTTACTTAATAATATGGATTATACATTGTTTAAAAAAAAAAAAAAAAAATTAGCATCCACCGTGATTGTCAACAAATTTTGTTAAATTAACAATTTCGATTGCTTTTATATTTTCTCAAATTAAAAAATTTCCACAAATGGTGCCTTCATGCTTCTCAATCAAAAGTCAATATTACTTATTCTTATTATGACATTCACTTCTTTAGGCCTTAATTAATTAATTAGTCCAGGGGTTAAACATTGATAACAATAGGCCAAACTTACCTAAAAAGTATGCAACTAGAGTATCAATGCTTTTAGAAATCAATCAATGGGGATAAAATTGATAAAAACAAAAATAATTTTTTAGATTTAAAAAAAAAATTACATTTAAAAATCAAATCCTTTGTAATGACAATCTTACCCTAAGTGGACTTTCAATGGGGTTTTCAAGTCTTAAACAATTAAGTCGTGGATATCAAGTAAATATCCATTATAACATTGATTAATTAGTAATGATCTAAAAAAATTGTCAAATATTTCATTCTTTGTCTATTCCCCAATTAAATGCAATATATATTATATAAAATAAAAATATTTTTTAAGTTTTTGAAATAACATATATCACTTATCGTTCAATTTTAGGTATTAAAATAAACATAAGAAAATCCAAGAATGTTCATTTACTCAATACTTAACAAGTTGGTGATGGTTGAACAGGATAAGAATTTTGTTAATTAAAAAACTTTAGTTATATATAAAATGTGATTGGGTCAATGTATGTAGTCGTAGAGAGCTAGTGTTGCACTCAATATAAAGAAGAATTAAATAATTAAAAAGCAAATAAAATGGGAATTAATTTAGGGTGAAGTGTCCCATCCTTTCCCAACAAGATTCAGCATCCCAGGATGATTTATGATTATGACAAGGAAACAAAAGCATGACAAACTTTTCATCATTTTGCTTCTCAATAAGACCCTTCTATTCTAGTCTAGGTTTCTTTTTTTTTTTTTTTTTTTTATTTTCATTAATTCACCACCAAAGTTGTTCATTTCTTCATCAATTCTTCTTTTTGCCTTTTAAACCTCTCTTCACTTTACTTTTAAAGATATGCAATCATCTAAATTAATCTCTTATTTATGACTCATTCTTTTTTTTTTGTTACTTTCTCGACAATAACATCGTTAGATCAATAATCACTGGTAAATATGATCGATAATTAATTCATTAGAGGTTAATCAAACGATCAAAGCTATGGTTTGTTCTAACAAGGTCTTAGATTTGTTAGTCTCGATAACGTTATTAGATCAATAATCATAATTCAATATGATCAACACTTAATTTGTAAGAGGTAAGCCTGATCTGGGTTTTACAAACCCGGGCTTTTTCCCAGGCCCAGACTTTCATTTAAAAAAAAAAAAGTCATGTCTAGGGTTTTTACATCCCTAGGATTTGTTACAATGACTTTATATCAATAATCACCATTAAATATGACCAATAATCAATTGATAAAGGGTTAGTCGAATTATAAAACTGAGGGTTTGTTCCCAGAAGTTCTTGGGGTTGAATTCCCTCACACGTATCTACATGACAAAAAGTGGTAGGGTCTAATGGAGGCTCGAACTCAAGTTCATGAAAGAAATTCGGTGGAATTTTGAAATGTCAAAAGATAAACAGCCATAAACTTTAATTATTATTATTTTTAATCTTTCTAAAATTCATATATATTAGTCAAATTTCAAATAAGGTTAATAATCTTATTATAAGCACAACCACTAATAATTTGACTCCAACAACATTTATAATTACCCAACTAATTAGTTCAATTATTTGATAAGAAATGGTAAGCATGATTTGAATAATGGCCTTGTTATAATGAACAATAAATGATTGTGCTATATGTATATAATGACAATATGTATATTTTTTATCATCATTAATTATTTCAAATTTTAATTATTCACTGCCATTAAACTCGTATCATTGATTTCTTTGCTTTGTACCACCAACAAAATTAAAGCTATGCCACTCAATTTTCATTCTTTTGGAAGCTTTTTTCACTCATTATTTGTTATTTATGATCTTTAAATTGTTGTGCTTTTAGAAAATTACATATATTATAAGCAAAATAATTAAAATAATACAGTATGACCTCTTTATAGGAATAATCTTCATGAAGTCATAAAAAATTTTAATCCCAACTTGAGTCAGTTATAAATTAGAATAAACTTCACATTGTAATAAATTATAACTTTTCTAGATCTCGTCTTAAGGAACTTGTCTCTACATAGTAATAATTATATGTATATTATAAAAAAAAATATAATATGTTACATTAAATGTTTAAGATGAAATAAAATATTTAAACATGTTTGGTGCTATGTCTATCTCTTTTATCCATGTCTATACCTTGATTTTGACATACTCTATTAATGAATTATTAATATAATACATATTTTATCTCTATACAACTAGCACTAAGGATAATAATTTTTGTAACTACGCCTCAATCAAGTTATAATTCATTTTTTGTAAGTTGTGTTAAAGGCTAGACGCCCCAAAGGTGTGATATGATAATAAAAAATTCTTTTAAGTTTTTAAAATAACAAAAATTAGATCCTTCCCATTAATAAACAGTATGTTAAAATAACACTGTTATAAGTTAATAAATATTATCAAATTACCTCTGTACTGTTTATTTTAAAACCTGAAACTTATAACAGGAGGTTCTATTATTTATGAACTCTTATAAATTTGGTGGATAAAATTGAGGACATGAGAAAGAAAGAATGACAGAAACCCACCCCCACAAACACATGCAGAGACAGACAAGGCTGACAAACATTTTATGATTACTAGTATGACTATTGACTGCCTTCTTATTAACAAGGGTTTTCCATTTTTATGTCTAAAATCTTCTCCAAATCTCTCTTTTTAACCTCTACCTACCTTCCAATAATTCAAATGTTTTTCAGGGTTAACTCAACCCCTCTATATTTGATTCAATAACTGAAATAATTGAAAATCTTCTTGCCGTTATTAAATTATTAGTGAATAGTTTATAACTGTAATATTATGCTTACTCACCATCTTACTATCTTGTGTAATTATAACACATAGTACAGATACTATGCATATAGTACCCGTACTATGCCGTTATATTTATCAAGATAGTAAGATGGTTAATAAGATTGTGAGTAAGCGTAATTTTATTGTTAATCAAACATCAAGGTGATCACTGCCATAAACTGTGTTTTTCCTTTTTTTTAATTTTAAATTATTGACACACGGCTACCGCACTAGAGAATAAGAGTTTAGGTCTCTTCAGCTTAACATAGGTGCTTATGTAAATAATTTTATATTTTGTATATTTTATTTATTATTATGACAATTTCATCTGTTATAAGATATCGATAAGTTTTTAACTATTTTTAAAAAATATTAAATAATTCATAAGAAATCGTTAAACGTCAAATGTCCATGAGATTATTAAGGGGAAAAATAAATCAACTTTACAATTATTAGTATATAATTATTAAACATTAATACAAAGAAAAACTCTAACAAGATCCAAAGTTCAAATGATTGCTGTTGAATAAATTGTCTCCTTGGGACACTGCATAATGGGGGCCCATTAATATAAAATAACTTGAGCCCACACATCTCTTCATCTCCATGATGATCATCATTGAAGTTCTTCTACTTATTTAGTATATTATAAAATTTATTTAACGCGTGCTTTCAGATATATATTAAAATCAATTTGATTATTTAATTA